CGTCGAGCGCACCGAAAGAATCTCTCAGTGTATCGCAGTTAATGCATCGTCGAGAGAGCGTGTTGAGATTTGGGAACGACTGAACCGAAGAGTCGGGAGTTGTGCTCTGTGTGTCGTCGAGTGCATCGCGAGTTGTAGTGTGGAGAGTCTCGATAATACGTGGAGTTTCAAGAACGACCGAGCAGAGTTGAGAGCTGTACTCTGGTGCTTTTCAGGGAAGCTGTCTCCACCATTATTGCCTGACAGTGTGGAGGCTGTGTCGCTGATTGTTCCAGTGTGTTTATAGTAGATGTTCGATGACTGAAAAACATGACTTTGGGGCTGTCCTGACTAATACAGTAAAAAGTCGTTAATCCGGACTCGTCGGGACTTTGGCGAATCCGGATTATAGATCATCAGTTTAAATCTGGTAAGATGGCATGCAGAAATTATAAAATTAAAAATATGAAACCGTAATTTATGAAATAAAGAACAATTATGATCTAAAGGGTATCAAAATTTGCAAAAAAAAAAGAACTTAATATTTGTGTACTTTATTAAACATTTCTTTCAGTGTAAGTTGTTTAAGTTGCTTTGTTTTATGTGATAATACTTTCTTTTTAATTCTATAAACAGACATAATTTCTTGTTCAGTCACAAAGTTCCGCTGTTCAAGTCCTATAATTGCTGTGTCGAGAACACCGACTGATTTGTCAATCGAAATTTTTTCGTTTTCAATAACCTCTGTGTCACTTTCTTCACTATCGGAAGCGAATTATAATGACGAGGAACTTGATTTAAATCATATCAAAGAGGGAGTACATCGAGATGAAATACTACATTTAGTAAGAAATTATAAGCCGAATAAAATAAAAACATCTGCCCTGAAGATAAGAATAGTGCTGACAGATGAACTTCCAATTTATTGCCCGCCGCAGAGCAGCATGAAATTGATAAACAGATTTCGGAATGGTTAGAGAAACAAAGGTTGCCTTTATCCATTTTTTGCAGGAATTCCACTTTTTGTTTGATGGACATCAAAACATACTTTCGCTTTGTGGATCCTTTACATATTAGTAAATATATATCGGAAATTCTATTTGACATAATAATAAGTTCAAGCTTACTTTTATAAAATTGCTCTAACAGTCTGCAAAAAATAATAAGCCGGATCCAATTCGAAGATTAAGGAACAACGCTATCTGCAACATTAACTGAAATAGATAATTTTAGCTTATACCGTCCGTTATACATTAAACGCGCATGCGTAAACATATTATGCACATGCGCACACGCATATGCGCAGCCGCAAAGGTTTTACGCGCATGCGGAAACAACCATGCGCCAACGCGACACATGCGCAGAAAGTTTGTAGCTTTGAGGTCCGGATTATAAATCATTCCAGATTATAGGGTCCAAATTAACGACTTTTGACTGTATTGGCTAAATAAAGTGTTTTTCGATACCTTATTCACTCCGAATCCGTAACGAACGTACCAAAGGAAGAAAATAATGCAACAACTAGTGTCAGAAGTGGGATTTGCGAGTGAATGCCAGTGACTCGCTTTGATGGGCTTTTCTTAGCTGAGATCAGAGCTGGGTGAGAAGAGATGAAAGCCAAACTGAAAGAGTTAAAAGCCGGATGTGCTGAGAGAAAAGCCAGATATGATGAGATAAAAGGTGGATATGAAGAGATGACAGGTGATATGAAAGCTGGACAAGAAGAGATGAAAGCTGGGAGAGGAACTCCCACAGATGAAAGTGGAGCTTGCAGAAGAAACTGGAGCCATAAAAGAAGATGCGGAAATAATGGATGGGGCATCTGAAGAAACGGAGGATGAAGAAATGAAGGAAGTGGCTTGAGAAGTATCTGAGAAAGCTAAAGAAATAAAGGATGAAACATCTTACGAGATTAAAGAAAGAGAACAAAAAGATGAAGAAAAAGATGGGAAAGACACTTCTCATCCTCAGGTGTCGGAAGTTGAATTGGAAGTCAGTTATAATACTGTTTGTAAAGATGAAGTAATAAACGAAATGGCTTGTAAAGCTTCTGAAAGAGGTGAAGAAATAATTTATGTAAACAAAGTTCCTGATTTTCAAGTGCCTGAAGTGGAAGTGGAAGAAAGTGAAAATGTGACTATTAAGTTCTTCAAAAATGATAGTGAGGTTGCGAAGTTGCAGTTAGCGAGTATTGAACCATCTGAAAGTGCATGTGATGCAGAGGTGGAAGAAGCTGATATACAGTTTAGGCAGTGCGCTCCAATATTGCAAGAAAATTCACCCACTTTGCAAACCATGTGTGCGTGTCATAGTGCAGATTGTGTAGACAAGGACTTGATTCCAAGTCCGGATACTTCTGCTTGTAAAAGATCGGATTCTCTTCACGGCCCTGGTGCAAACATCAGAACTGGTTCCCAGAAAACGGAGCTAAATGGGCATGTACCAGCGGCTGAAAATACCGAGGTGAACTGTATACATGATGGGAATAAACTACAGAGTGGAGTCTGAACTGTTTTAGATTTTCCTGTGGATGAAAAGCTTGAAAGAACTGATTCTTCAGACTGTGATATGCATATTAGAAATGCATCTGAGAACTGCAGTAAAAGAGTATTTGACCCGGCTATAACTTAATGAAAAGAGTGAAATTAAAATTCATTCTGAACTTTAATTTGTATAATTTAAAATTGTTATGCGTGTAATTTGTTTATATAACTTGTACATAGTGTAAATATTAGTTTCTTTAGTTATTTGTATGTTTTAAAACAATTTGATTTTGATTGATTTGATTGTAAATTTTTTTGTATCGAATTTGGCTTCTGACCTAGGGTTGTACTGCTCGGAACGTGCAGTCCTTGGGAGGGGGCAGTGTTACGAAATGTACAGGCGCGGTAAGATAGCTTTCCCGCAAAGCAATTTTAGGGTTGCCATATTTGGCGAGAAATTGTCCATTTGGTGACAAAATTGGCGATATACCATGGACGGATGGAGAACCCTCTAGAACGAATTCTTACCGGTTTAGCCCAGAGTGTTCTCGAACACAAGTCGAAAGCTATATAAACCCTGCTGGTACGCGGAGAGTCAGAGCGAGATAGTTAGTCTCGAGTTAGTCAGTCTGTGCGGAGTTGATCGAGGTGTCATCTGGTCAGCGAGTGTTGAGTGGGTCGTCGAGTGAACCGAAAGAGTCTCTTAGTGTATCGCGTTTAGTGCATCGCGTCGAGAGAGCATGTTGAGCTCCAAGAACGACTGGACCGAAGAGTCGGGAGCTGTGCTCTGTGTGTCGTCGAGTGCATCGTGAGTTGTAGCTTCCAGAGTCTCGAGAGTACGTGGAGTACCAAGAATGACCGAGCAGAATCGGGAGCTGTACTCTGGTGCTTTGCAGGGAAGCTGTCTCCACCGTTATTGCATGACAGTGTGAAGGCTGTGTCACTGATTGTTGTCCCAGCGTGTTTATAGTAGATCTTTGACTACTGTAAAAGTGTTTTGTAGCTGTTCTGATTAATATTGGTAAATAAGTGTGTTTCGATATTCCATCAAGTGCTGTCATCGTTATTCACTCCAAGTCCACATGAACCCCATACAAACGTGAAAGAAGAAAGTAACAACTGATGTCAGAAAATAACGTAACAATATGTATATGTATACATGCACATATATTCGTACTTGTATGTTTTTGCATGCGTACGGATTGTTGTAATACATTAAATGCACAGGTCCGATAAAAAGTTAATAAAATTTGTTCTTATCACAAGAAATATAACAAAACACTGGATTTTCCCCCCTCAAAGAATAAAATTTAGTCGTATCACAGGAAATATAAGAAAACACTGGATTTTTCCCCCTTCAAAGATATTCGTACAATATCACAATATCATGCAATATAATCAGTAGCTATATTTTAAACCATTGAAACATTAAGTAGAACACAATCCAAAGCGCAGAGAAAGCTAATCCCATCTCACCGTGAATTTGCTACAATCAGCAATAACAGTTGTCTAAACAGCTAAGCTGAGATGTTTCTCTCTGGCTTTTAAATTTTTTTAAATTGGCTGCACGATACAATTCTAGCAATTTCTGGAAAGCAAAAAGCGTAGAATTACGTTTACAGTTAACATAGTAGTCAATTACAGAGATAATCTTTTATTCAATGTTAAATCCACATGCTGTTGTATTTTTTTATTTTTTGCCGTAGCTTTCTCTTAAAACTTGTCATTGCATGAGAGAATAAAACAATTTAAATTATAATTCTACTAAAAATAGCTAACTAAATACAAAACCCGTAACAATATAGACATGCGTACATGAACAGATTCATCCATCCATACATCCATTTCTGAATCTGGTCTTGATATCAGAAAAGTACCATCAGATAGTTTTCAAAGTTTTAAAATATATATATATATACATAAATGAACCATTGCCTTTTAAAGTTTTGTTATATCTGTAGCTTTTCTAAAGAATATAAAATTTAATAATGTGCATTAAAAATTATTTTCATTTATCTGTAATATTTTACATAAAAATTCTGTATTCATCAGAAATTAATTTGAGTTGATTTCTTTCTAAGGGAAAAGGAGGGATCAACAGGAGTTTGAAATATGTAAATTTATGATATAGATCTGTTAAAAATTCTTTTCACAATATGCAGTATTTTCAAAGTTAAATGCAAATTTGTTTTGCTGATAATAAATATGAAGTTTAAACACATTTGCTAGTTTTGATGTAATTATTAAGTTATTTGCACGCCTTGATTTACTCAATCTCTGAGAAAGTATGGGAAATACTCATTGAAGTACAATATTATTTCATTTATAAATTTATTTGAGTAATTAGCAGAAGCACTGATTATTTCTTTTGAAAAAATTGCCTCATTAATGATGACAGTGCTGTCGGGATGCATATACTGTATTTAAATTTTCATACAACTTACTTCCCTATAATTTGCATGAGAGATATTTCATATTGCTGTGCAAGAAAGGGAAAAGAAAACTAAAACTAAACTTTTTTTTTTTTTTTTTTTTAGCTTAGTTCATTTTTTTAGCAAAATGAAAAAATGGGCTGATATGGCTAACTTACCTAAAGAGATGCGTGATAAAGTTGATAGATTAGAAAGAAGCTTCAATGTTTCTACAGTTATATTCAAGAAATTTAAACCTATTTATCTTGACATCTTTAAAGATCCATTTAAAGACCCACCACGACCAACTAGAAGTAGAAAACAAAGGCAAGTTTTTTTTTTTTTTTTTTTTTTTTTTTGTATTTTAACTATATTAGTAGTTTGTATTTTAACTATATTATATATATCTTCAGTAAGATTAGTAAAAAGCATTTGACCAAAGTATTTTGAAGAATCTTTGGAATAAATGTGAGTATTTTACCAATAAGATCTCCCAGTTTAAAGGATTGGCCTTCTCTTTTAATGTTGCTGTTCATTTATACAAGAATGCTGATATAGTTTTCAGATGAATTTGAAAAAAACAAAATTCTCGACAATGAATGATTTGAACGATGCAGGTTTTACATCTCCCCTCGAAAGTTATATGTTTGACTGTAGCTGTAATTAAAACCATGTAATTAAATAAATAATAGTACTAATAAAAATGTTACTTTGATTTATTTTAAGATACAGTACAAAGTCCGTAATCCGGACACGTCGGGACTTCGGCAATTCCGAATTAGAGGTTTTTTCGGATTATAGATCATCAATTTAAATCTGGTAAGATGGCATGCAGAAATTATACAATTAAAAAATATGAAACCGTAATTTATGAAATAAAGACAATTATGATCTAAAAGGTATCAAAATTTAAAAAAGAAAAAAAAGTTTTATATTATTTGTTTATTTTATTAGTAAACAAATATACAAGTTTATAGTTTATTTCTTTCTATATAGCTATATAAGTTGTTTAAGTTGCTTCATTTTTTTGTGCTAATACTTTCTCTTTAATTCTATAAACAGACACAATTTCTTGTTCAGTTACAAAGCTCCACTGTTCAAGTCCTGTAATTGCTGTGTGGAGAATACCGACTAACTTGTCAATCGAAATTTTTTCGTTTTCAATAATCTGTCTGTCACTTTCTTCACTATCGGAAGCGCACATTAAACGCGCATGCGTAAACGCATTACACGCATGTGTAAAGCATACCAAAAAAAAAGTTTGTGGCTTTGAGGTCCATATAGATCATTCCGGATAATGGACATCTGGATTATGGACTTTGTACTGTATACATAAATATCAAGAAACTATGATACATCAAATTAAATAAATAAATATGTGTGTGCGTGTGATGTACTGGTTTAAAGAAAATATTAACATTATAACATATTATATTATTATCGCCAGTTCTTAATACATATTTTACACAGTCAGTTGAATTATGTGGAACATGTTAAAATATTTCTATCAGAAATAAATAACATCATTTATGCATATATAAAGGAATAGAAACCTATTTTAAATCACATGTAAGTGTTATAATAATAAATTATGTAATAACTGCAGAATAAAATACTTCAGATAAAGAACATTACATGCTAAATTTAATCTCCATAAGTCTACTATCGTATAAATAATCCGAAATTATTTCAGTAACTAATTCTTAATGATTCTTAATCTTAATATTATTATTAATAATATTTCCGATGAATAATTTGAAGTCTGCAGTATATTAACAGCCTCTTTGTTTACAAGTCAGTTTGCATGTAGAATCATCTGAAGCTTTTTTTTCTCTGATTCATTATATCTGCCATTTTAATATCTAATAGCAATGTATTAATTAAAGTTAAAGCAAGAAAACTTTGAAGCAGACAGAAGAAGTCATTAAAGCAGACAATTAAAACTAATATTGAGTATATTTAAATATGCTTCTCCCCTCGAAAAAAAGTTTTATACTGTTGAGTAACTGTCCTCTCATTTGAAATAATTTGTTTTTGCTAGAAATGTTAATTAAAAACTAATTGAATATCTAATTTTAAGGTTGTTTGGCAGTAATGAAATTATTGTAGCTTAGCCTAAAAACAATTTTGAATTATCACTAGAAATAAATATTGTGACTTGGAAAAGATCCTTGTCTTATGAAGATTATACAGTTTTAATGTAGTTACAGTAACAAAAAATGCTTTTATATAAACCTGGGTACTGTTTTATTATCAGAACAGGGTTCAGAAATGTATGCATGTATATGTGTTTATGTAATCTTCTATATAAGTACTAGCAGCTTCGCTGCCAGCCTTCGTCTGGCTTTTAAATGTACCGGAAAAATGGCTGAAGGGAAAATGAAACGTTAAATTTAAAAACTGCGTAGAATTTTACTCTGCAGAACAACTTCATAAAAAAAAAGTTATTACATATAACAAAATTACAATGAAATAAGCAATATCCCTTAATACAAATATTAATTATCCTAATAAATAAATTAATCAACTTCCCTTTACAAAATCGTAAGAACTCAAATGGTATAAAGAAGGTTAAGAACTTTGTTTCCTAAAAAAATCACTCAAAACTTTTCAATATCTTAAAAACAGTGAAATGAGCAATAAATAACATAAAAAGAATGCAAAAAACAAAAAATTCTGAAAAGCAAAGTATAATTAATGATATTTTGTCTTATATTTTCAAGAGAAAAAAATTACAATGAAATAAGCATATCCCTTAATACAAATATTAATTATCCTAATAAAAAAATTAACCAACTTTCTGTTGAAGGGAAAAAATCATGCAAAATTTTTCAATATCGTACAGTGAAATAAGCAAAAAATAACATGAAAGCAACTCAAAAAACATTAAATTCCGCGCAGAATTTTACTCTGCAGAACAACTTTAGCAGAAATATATATATATATATATAAATGACTATGAAATATGCCAATCTCTTAAAAACAGTTACATAAGAAATAGGATGCAAAATTGTTGCGAAACCCATATTTCTAAAAGAATGAAACTATTCAAAATGATGTGATTTCATCAAAAATCTATCAACGACAATAAGAGAGGAAAATTGTTGCCAAAATCACATTTTTAAAGATGTGAGAAATGTACTCGGAAGCTTCATTTTAAAAAATCTTTTAAATACAAATATTATCATTTTCCAAAATTCTTTTTTGTAAAGCAGTCTAAGGATAAAAGTTTAACGTGTCCAAAAATCAAAGAAAAAGAAACTGTACATCTTTTAAAATAAACTTTTTTTAGAAAAAATCTTGTTGAAAAGGTGTTAATGATGTGATTTCGTAACAAAACATAAAATAAAAAAAATTCAAATTCGAATTTCGAAAAAAATCGATTCGAGGTGCACTGGCTCTTGTCTAGATGTACCTATGTACCAAATTTCGTAGCCGTGGGTCTATTAGCTTATGCGAAGCGCGAGCGAAAGACACACACACACACAGACAGAATTTTATTATATGTAGAGATGAATGTATGTATGCGTGTGTATGCATATAACACGTATACATGCACATACATTGCAAACACACATTGCAAACACACATGTATGCATTGAATCTGGTCTCAATAACAGAACAGTACCTAAATCTGTTAATTTTCTAGATATGATTGCACTTTAGAGAAATTTGTACCATTTGCACTTCACTTCAGATTTTCTTTCAAGTATTTGTCTTTTCTCGCTGCTGAAGGTGTTTCCTGATATTTAAGTGGGTCCTTCCACTATGTTTATTTTGATTATTATTTATTTCTTACATATAAGTACATATTTTAAATGATTATGTTTATGTATTTTTAACAATTTCTTTAATAATAATTAATTTTAATACTGTTCCATTAAAATATCTGTAATGTTTTTTTAAACCTTATAGAAGACTTCCATGTACATCTTCAGAAGTATTTTCATTTTGTTGGACACTGTTTATCAGAGTTAAGGGTATGAATTTCTTTTTCCTGTTAAATTCTTTGTTAGAACTGTCAATCTGCCATTTTCATTAGCATTTGTGATTTCAAATGAAATTATGTCTATTAGTGCTGAACTGGAACATAATAGTTTTTAAGATGATACCGTTTGACTTGTAGGTGTATTAGCCAAGTTTTCGAGTTACATTTGCAGTGCAATTTTGTAAAATTTAAATTGTTGACTTTTTATTTCAATAAAAATTTTAGCACCTTTTCTAAAGTATGAAAGGAAGCATTTATTTTGTTAAATTGTATTGTATTTTTTTTTAGGCAACTTTCCAGCCATATCTGAAGACTTGGTGAATTCTTTTCATCTCCTACTTTGTTGTGTTGATCTTATGTATAGTAATGCCTTATTAGCAGAAAAAAAAGATATTTTAAATCCAAACTTCATAGGTAATTTTAATTGAGAGATATTTCAATTTTAATGCTCATATTGTTTCCCATATTGTAATATTCTACATAAAATTTTTGTTAAAAATTGATGAAAAATTGTTATGCATATTTATGATATGTAAAAGGGTTATATTATCTATTAATGAAAGATATTAATTCTGCTTCATAAGGAATGAAGCAGATATACACTTAGAAATTGAAATTTTATGTATTATTTAATTATTTTTTATTTAAAAAATTTTTCATTGCATTATAGGTGATTAAAGCTGATGAGATATTTTTTAATATATATATTGTATTAATACAATAATTTTAATGCAGTAAAATTACATCAAAATATATTGACACAAAAGAGGCATTTTTTGAAAAATTATATTTTTAGAAAAATGCATATTTTGTATTCTTTTTAAAAATTTTGATTTATGTTTATACAAGTTATCTATATTAATACTGTTAAGCTCTTTAGAACAGGTAAATAAATTATTTCGGATCTTTTAAGGAAAACCAGTGAATTTCTATTTTTGCTTTTTCTTTTCCTTCAATAAAACTTCATCTCTTCTAATTTTTTAAAATTAATTGGCAGTTATTTATGAAAAATATATTTATTATTAAAATCCAGTGTTAAAAATCCAATTAAAATCAGTGCTGAAATTTTTATAGTTGATCTATATTAACATTATATCTGTAAAATCTAATCTGTATTTTTTGTTTCAAATATACTTAGGATTACCTCCATCATTTGGTAGCAGAGACCCGTTAATACCTTTTGAGCCACCTTGCATTATTGAATTGCTATGTAATAAACATCAAGGTATTCCTGTTGAAGCCAAGGGTATCAAAGAACATTGGTGGAAACCATATATAAAAAAATTGATGGAAAAAAGGGTATTCTTTTCTTGTCATACTATTATTTATTATTGTTTGAATATATTTTACTTTTTTTTAAAGAGATGAACTTTGTGACTTTTGTGGAACTGTCTGATTTTTGTGAAAAGACAAAATGTAATTGTGAATTTTGTGAAAAGACATAATTTTCACATTGCCATATTACTGCATGCGAGTAAGATTCATTTGAGAATAAAGAAGACCTGTATTAATTTCTTTCAGAACATGTCATAAAAAATACTTGATACCTGAAGATAGATTATTTTTTAATCTTTTAAAATAAAATTATTCTATCTCTGCAATTAAACATGCAAAGTTTCCTGGATACAAATAGCCATAAAAATTAGGAACAGAAATTTTTTAACCTAGGATGAGAAGTAGTGTTTCTAATGATGTGGTGTTCATTATTTGACTGTATAATGTATCAAATTCAGATAATATCTAATTTGTATTACATTTTTTAAACTGTTATATTAAATTCTAATTCTAGAATTGCTTTTATCCTGATCCTTATAGCAGTGTTTTCTATTCTGATATGGACAGTTCAGAATGCATTTTAAAACTATCCTTCTTTAACAAAAACTTAAGTTATGAAAGCTGAAATTGAAGTATACTGCACCATGCGATCTAATTGGCTAAACTGTCTGAAATGTTAATCAAGATATAATTCCTCTTTTCACATGATTTGTTGACACATGGAACTTAATTTTTGTTTAAATAAGAATATTTTTAACCTTTAATGCAGTGTATTATGTTTAAAGCTTCTTGTTTGATTTAAAATATTTTACGAAACATTTTAATTTTATTTATTTATTTCAGATTCTGAAGGGGAGAATTGATACTTTAATGGGCTTATTGGATACACAAAATTTTGAACAAAATAGGTACATTTATAAATTAATTTCAATTTTTTCATATTAACAGTATCAATTTTTCGTATAATTGTATGTGTAGTAAAAAATATATTTTTTATGAACTATGCTTTAGTTAAATACACTATTTTATTTAATAATTGCATTTTTATCAATGATTTATATTTTATTTTAAATAGTAGTCTACTAATACTAATTATCCAGTTATTTAAGTGTAAAAACCAGGCTTTGTTGTTTAATGTTCATTTTGGTATACATATCATTAATACCAGTGTTTTTTAAATGTTAATTTGTTTTGAACATTGAAAAGAAATTTTTGGAACACGATGCAGACAAAAATAACGATTTTATATTTACATGAATACAAAATTATACATCAGTCATTTTTAATAAAAGAATAAATGATATTTAATTATGGCTGCTAGAATGTATGTAAGATCTTGTAATATTAGAAGTTTTTTTAAAATTTTATAGCAAAGCCATCAACAAAGAATATGAAGAGCATGTTCTAAATGTTGGAGATTTTGATGAACGAATATTTCTTGGTGAAAATGCCAATGAAGAAATTGGGACACCAGCCAAACAGAGTTATATGTGCTCTGGATTAACAGAACTTGCTCAAAGGATGAAAGAATTTAACAAAGGAAATTTACAGCAACATATGCAAGAGGTTGTTCTTAATTTTATAATACATTGGTTTTCAACAATTTCATTAAGATTTGCAGGAATATAGTTTGATCTTTTTAACTATCGATTAATTTTAAGCTGATTAAAAGAACAATGAAGCATTATTTCATGGTATTTAGTTATTAAAATTCATTTAATTTTCTATACCTCAATTCATTTATGCTGAAAAGAAATATTAAAATGTGGAGAAAAGCTTGCAAAAATAAATATACAGAGAATTTAAAGTGGCCTATAGAATTAAATTTCATGAAAATTTTACCTGTATTCCTCTTTGCATTTTTTTAAAATACTTCTTTACTGTATTATTAGTTTTTTTTTAAAGCAAGAATTCTTGTATCTGTAAAACTGGCTAAAAAACAATTCTGCCGTATGAAAGCTCGGCTGTGAAAGCAAGTTTTTGATATTGTTTCAAATCACTAAATTAATTATACTTGAAAATATCTGAAAGAAAATTCTAAGCACTGAATTTGTTTAATTTTCATAATTCATTTAAGTTTCTTTTCCTTTGACTGATTGAAGAGTTAATGAATTTGTTGATGAAAACATTTTAATTTTTGTTATTTTTTAATTCTGTTAAATTTGCTACCATTTATTTTATTATACTTAAGTTCTACTGTTAAACTGTTTCTTTCTTCATCTTATTATTCTTGTTTAATTATTAAAAGCTCTTTTCTTTCTGTTTCTTTATTGCATTTATCGGGTTTTAATGAAAGTTTCCCACCACCCAAAATATCATCTGTGCAAACAGTTCACGTTAGCGTGTTTAATCGTATTTTGTCAAACGTTTGTCATTTGAAAGAAAGAGACTTGGTTTAGAATACCATGTTGTGAAATTTGTAAAAAAGTATCCTTTATCATTAAGTACAATGTGTCTGAAATGGAACTATTGCACTACCAGATTATAACCATCACTAACTTCCAGTTCTGTTGCAAAAAGTCAGCCTGCAGAATGTTACCAAATCATGTATATAGCTTTAGGTACTGATGTTGCATCATGTGACACTGTGAAGGTTGATACCAAAAATTAAATTAAAAAACAAGGACTATGCGTTAAAGATTACTAAGTAGTTAGATGTTAGTGCCATGTCGATTAGTCCTGCTATGCAACCACATAAACTTGACGTACATGTTCAGTTGCTTGGTGCCGCATGAGCTGACTTAAGTTGTACAAGTACAAACATGTTCGCCTTATACTAATCTGTTCGAATATCAATGCAAAGACAAAATTCTGGACCAGATCGTCACTCATGATGAAAAATGGATTTACTTCAACACAGGCCGAAAAGGGGATAGCTCTGTGCATGGTGAGCCCATTGGCAGTGTCGCAAAGATAAAACAAAAACTAACAAAAATATCATGCTTTGCATCTGGTGGGATTGCTGTGGTATTATCCACAAAGAGTATCTGGAAGAAGGTAAAACCCTCGACAGTAAGGTGTACAGCAAGATGCTATCTGTTTGACTCTGCTATCAAGGTAAAATGTCGAACTGAGTTCTGGCACAAAAAAGTAATGTTCTATCAAGATTATGCAAGACCACGTGTATCTGCATGTCTCAGCTGGACTCTGTACGGACTCGAATGGGATCTTTTGCCCCCAGTACGCCTGAAATGCGGTTCATCTGTTCTTGAACTCGCAGCCACCACATTTCTGAACCAAAGACTACTAAAACTACTAAAACATTGGCTGAAAATCATAAATTACTATTACATTACTACCTGCATTAAAAGTACTGCTTTCATGCTTTTTTTAAAACGGGGTTCGTAGCGGTCCTTACAAGTGCTTATAAGTCCTTATAATTGAAAATAAAATATAAAGGCCCTTATAGGTGCTTACTTTTTCTTTAAAGCCCTTATTATTTTGTTTTTAGTGCTTATTTTTTGCTTTTAGTGCTTTTTTTAATGAACGTGCATTCCCCCCCCCCACCCGGTACCAAAGCCGAAACTAAATAAACAACTTTTCTTCCTTATATGGAACGTCAGATGGTGAATCATACTCCCGGAAATAGCTTAACCTATGTTACGCGCCAGAGTAACAGACAGGTGCACGTCGTTCTATTGGTCAAAGAATTGCGAAAACCGTAGAAAAGTCTGGTACATTCGATATTCTTTTCCTCCCACCCAAATACTACACACGTTTGGATTTCTGTCAAGATTTTAATAATTTGCATTCTCGTTCCGCGTGGTCAGTTCATATTCGTGTTTAGTATGATCGTTATGCTTATATTATGAGCATATGTATGAATATTTATAATAATATAGTTGCAGTAGCTGCTGAAGTGTCGATAAACTTCCAAAAATGGTTGTACTTTTACACAGATTAGCTTTCTAAGAAATAATATTCGGAATGGCTTAAATAAAAGGAAAGTAATCGAATAGTTAATTTTTTTTTCCCAATACATATTACAGTACGGAGGTTGGGAGGTTCTACCTTTTCTCCGCAAAATCTCCAATATTGAAGTAGCGGACTTTTTTTTTTTTTTTTTTTGTCATTGTCCAATCTGGATTGAATAGGACTAAAAGTTTTGCGGTCTACCTAACCCAAGCGAGGAATGATTCTATTCCGGAAATTTAACGCAGTCTTTTCAAAATTAGAATCAAAAACACCCCCAGATTATTAAGTCTCTTTCTTTTCCTGTATTTAGTTCTTTATTCTCCGAAAACCGGCAGCTGTTGATTCCGATTGTGTAATATCACGTATGGAAGAATTACGCCACTCGTATTGTGCAATAACGTTTGCGGTATTTTGCAGAGATAATTAATTTTGATGTTCAGTCTGAGATTTATTTATGAACACTTAAGAGTTTTACTGTGCTTTCTAAGCAGAATATTTCTCAGTTCCGTTGGTCTATTTTATATGATGCACATATCGAAATGTCAAAATCATTTATTTAGCCGAGAAATCTAAAGAACAGCTACAATCCCCCTCTCCTCTTTTTCCAGTACGCTCGACTATACGGAATATTCGGCAATTTCCGAGTATGCGAGTTAGTTAAGCTTTTACTGTTAAAGCATGACTGCATGAAGCAATTTCCTGTCTCCTGATTTCAGAAATATTCCTCTTTTTTACTTAAATTATTTTGCTTGGAATATATGTTAAGGGAAAATTGTTATGCAATGAAAATTTAGAAAATGTTCAGAATTTTGATTTAAGTTAAATTATTTAAATATTATTATGAGCGGAAAAATAAATTGTATTTATTATTAGGTACCAAGAGAATACAACTAACATAGCTTATTATTATTTATTTTCTATATTTTGAACTGAAATTTCATCATTAGATCTTGTAATATAGTTTAGTTCTGCATAGTTTTTTTCTCTCTCATTGTAAACTAATTCTGTAAATTGAACTGTCATTTAAAATTAAAAAAAAAAAAAAATAATAATAATTGTTTTCCATGGTTGAGGTATCAAGTTTAGAAAGGCATATTTTATTAAGCTCATTCTCTTAATAAATATTGCATTGCTCATATTTTAAATTGCAAGTCTAATTTTTCTTTTAAGGTTATGCAGTTGTGTATAATGACAGGTGCTTATTTTTTTCTTAAAATGTGCTTGAAAAGTGCTTATAGGTGCTTATTTTTTTTTAACTAAAATGTGGCTACGAACCCTGTAAAAACTTTATTAAGAACATTTTTTAATGGAAAACTTTCATTACAACCAGATATTATTTATTAATTCCATGTTTTGTCTAGGAATGGTCTTGATATTTGTTTTGTTTGATATGCCAATTTTTATGCATGAAATTTCAACATCTTTTAGCACATTTTTGTTAAACTATTGCTTAGCTTTATAGTAGTGTAAGTGCAATTTCATATCAAATTCTCATTTTAACATCATGAAAATTGTGAATATATGGATAACAAAGAGAAGTGAGAAAATGAAGATCTCATTAATAAATAACATTGAATGATCTCATTGAATTCTTTTTTCTGTATTTTGTTATAAAAGTTTCATATCAAGTTTAGAAAGGCATATTTTATTAAGCAAGAGCATTTCTGTGCATCAGAGGCACATTTTATTATTTATTTGCCGATAGAGTATTCAATTAATTATATGTTATCAATGGATGTTATTTACTAATGAGATCTTCATTTTCTCACTTCTCTTTGTTATCCATATATTCACAATTTTCATGATGTTAAAATGAGAATTTGATATGAAATTGCACTTACACTACTATGCTAAGCAATAGTTTAATCAAAAAGTGCATTAAGTGATATGAGTAATTTATAAATGATGTAACTTCAATATATCATATATATTATATATATATTGCTAAAGTGATTTAAAATATAGTGATTAAAATCATTTAAAAGAGGAATTTAGCATCTCAAATTAGAAGTTAAAATCAATTCAGAAGTCAAACAACAAAAATCAGCGTTATATTTTCAAATTACTGTGAAAATTTGAAAATATAACACTGATTTTTGACATTAACATTGAAATTTGAAAATATAACACTGTTTGACTTTTGAATTAGTATTTGTTCGGCGTGTTATTGTGTCTTAATGAGTTATTTATATTTTTAATGCCTTTTTATAAATATAATTTCAGACGAAAACATTGTTGCCTTCAACTCCTTTAACTGGTAGGAAGTATTTAAAAGATAAGGAAGCAGCTTACATTACACCAGTTAGTACTGCTACTCAGAGTGTAAGTCGTCTTCAGGGTTTGCTTGCTGGCAGAAAAGCATGCCCGAGTGAAACATTATTAGGAATATTTCGGTAAATTATACTTAAGCCTATTACTTCTTAAATAGTTTTCTTTTTACTTGTTTTTAGTGTTCATTTTGTGATATATTTGCACTGCAGTTTTTTAAATATATTATTTTCCATTTTTTAGGGAGTGTAGTACCAATCCTGAAAATAAAATTATAGAGAGAGTGAAAGAAATGGGAGAAACATTTTGTACATGTTATTCAATGGTAATAAATTTACATATCAAGTTATTTAACATTCAGTTCTAGAAATGTTTCTGCTTTTCCTTTTCGATATTTCTTTCTCACATTTAATTTTGTGCATCTTTTAAAATACTTAATGTAATTTTTGTATAATATTGTATATTTTGTATCTTTGTATATTTTTTCCTTCAGCCTTCAGAAGATCATCCTGGCTCACACATTGAATTTGCTAAGAAACGTTTATCATTAGGTGAAAATCTATATTACAAAGCATTAGAAGATATCATGATACTGGAGCAAAAAAGGCTGCCACCAAAGACAGATTTTTCTGTAAGTTTTTTTAGAAACATAACTTTTGTACTTCCTTGTACGAAGTAAAGGAAGTATTGTAATCACCAAAAATTCTGGGTGCTATATTTCAATGAAAATATCCATTTTGATGATCGCTATTGCATGCAATTTAATGATGTTTTTGCTTGACGCCTGTATGTAAGCACAGAATAAGGACTCTTTTTTTTTTTTTTTCCCCAAACATAATTATAAAACTGATTTAAAAGAGATTTTTTTGTGGTGTCTGTAGGTACGCACATATGTTTGTATCTTGCATAACTCAAAAACGAATAGCCTCAGAACGTTGAAATTTTGTATGTGGGACTGCTATAACATGTAGCACGTCTCTTTTTAGTTGCACCAAAAGTATATAAATATATGTATATAATTTATTTACTAATATATCCATTATATTACTCGGCTCAGTGAGCTCAGTTTCTGTATTCTTATATGTTTGTAAATTGTACATTTTTTGCTTTAGAAATGATTGTATTATGTTGTTCTTATCTTCCTGTTAAGGTTTGTATGCCTTTAGTTAACCTGCATATTATAGTTGTAGAATTATCAACAATTTAGAAGTAGTGTAAGTACAGCTAAGCCTAATCTTTTAAACATAGCAGCCATATTTGTTTATATTTGAAACTTCGCAGAATAGTGGATTTTTTGCCAATCTAGAGAAACTAAGCTTTGCAACAACAAAGTAACGTCTTCTTTTTATTATTGCGAATTAAATTATGCTTAATCTATTCTGGAATTATCATTTAAGTTATTAAATTATCCCTTATATTGACTGAACATAGCGTTGACAACAAATTGAATCAGTTTCTACACCTTCAGTGTCTTTCTGCTGAGTGAGATAAAAACTAAACCTTCAGTTTTGTGCATTGAAAAATCTGTCTTCTTGCCCTCTGGCCAAATAGCTTGTTTTTGCATGGAAACTAATTTGAATTGTAAAAATTAAAAGAAAAAAAATTTTTTTTGAACTGTATTTGGTGTTTTATATTTTTCTATATCTTCAGATTTTTAATGAAGATATTTTATGTTTTTATTATTTTTGCCTTGCCCTGAAGTGAGAACTGAATTAGTTTAATGAGAAATAGATCTCTAACGAAATTCGAGGAAATAAGTGTTTAATATTAGCAGAAATACTCTCGCCAGTCTGTTTCAGACAAAGCAGAATGTTTACGAGTAGCGCATGCGCATTAGGTAAACAGCGCGGAATCGTCTGCAAAAAACTTAAAAAAAAAAATTTCTTTTATAAATATTATATAGTATTTGAAAGAACATATGGTAACAATTAGATAATTCTTCAGATGATAATTTTTTTTTTCATTCTGATGTATAAAATGAATGAAATTTAATGCTGTTAAGTGAACCTAGTGTTAGAGTATCGCTATGGTAAATAAATACAGTGAATTTTAAAAAGTGTATTTATTCTATTGTGGTTTATGCGCTATTGACGAAGTAAATTTAATTCATTTCAATAAGTTTAAATGAAATGCTGGGAAAAAATGCATATAATTTAATATTCTGTACAAGGAAGTCATGGTGTACACATCAGATTTTTTTTTTAATGTATAAATAAAATTTGTTTTTCAGATGCATAAAGTAATGATGAAAAATCGCTATATTTGGATTTTTATTTGTTTTCATTATGAAGTATTATTTATCATTAAAATAAAATGTGTGTAAAAAATTCTTAACTAATATAGTTTTTTTAATCAAGTACATTTAAAAGAAAGGAAAAAGAAGAAAAGCTGTTCTAATATTCTGTTCATTTATAACATAACATATGTGATATTTTTTCCTGCCTTAAATTTTGATAGTAATAACCTAGCAGTTGAACAAAGCAAAAAGTAACTAGCTTATTATTTTGGTTAAGCTTTTATATAATTATTAACGTAGTATCTCATGACACCTAAATACAGCAGAGTTGTACTTCTGTTGTAACATTAATTATAACAAAAAATAATAGCGTTATCTTATCATAATATTTGAAGACATAAGTAGTACGTATTATAAATTTTATTCTGAATTTCGTATCTGAACCAAAAAGAATTATATCATTATGATGATTATGGTTCTTGCATTTTAAAAGTTGTTAAAAATGCATTCTTCATTCATATTTATGAAATAGAAATATTAGTAATCTTTTAAAACATACACTAATATTGATTTTTTTTTGCTCTATTTTTAATTGCAATAAATATGTTTAGGCTTCTTATCAGAATTAGTATATTTTAATTGTAAACTGAAAAATTCTTTTTTCAAATTGGAATTGATATTTTCTTATTTGAATGTTCATGGTTTAATCTTTTTTCTTCTATAGAATATGTTAGATCTGGATGCCTTTCACCGTTCTCTATTCGCATGTTGCCTTGAGATTGTAATATTTTCATATAATTCCCAAAGGTAAGAGTTTTGTAGCTTATATTATTATTTTAGTACACTGGAAAGTATTTTTAAATAGTAATTTCTGGTTAACATGGCCACCAGTTAATTTTGTCATCTTTTTATTTGGAACAAAAAGTTTTCCTTAGATTTTTATTTTGTATTAAGAGAAATAGACTAAAGCAATCTGTGGACAATGTGTGTTTTCTAGAAAAACTTTTATTTTATTGGTACATAAAAGAAGAGTAGAATGCTTCAGCAGGAGAAAAAAATAATAATAAGTATGTACTTTATTATTTTAAAAATATTTTATGCATTCGTATATAGTTAGATTATTTTAATAATTGGTAATTTTGTAAAATATTGTTTGAGCTTTGTTTTCTTAAATTTTTAAATCAAACATCAAATAAATTAGGATATCCTGGTGTGTCCTTTGTTAACTGGAATTGACTATGTGTATGGCATTTTAACTAGAATTGGCTATGCGTATGGCAAGTTAATTTTTTAAATTTTTAATAGGTCTTTCCCATGGGTTCTTCAGATATTTAATCTACAACCTTACTATTTCTACAAAGTCATTGAGCTTTTAATAAGAGCAGAAGATGGATTATCTCGTGATGTTGTTAAACATTTAAATCATGTAAGAATTCTCCGTATATTATAATGTTGTATTTTCATGATTAAAATTATTATCAGCATATCAGAAAATTAATCTTCTCTTGAGTGATTGTTTTTAAAATCCAAATCATGCATTCTACAACCAATGGTTTAAAAAAAGCAGTAGTCATAGAGAAAGTTATAACTTGCAAATCAAATACATTTCTTCAAGCTTATAAAAATGTAGCTGTGAGAGATAAAGAGAAGTTAATTGATTCTTTTCTTGTCCATAATGAACTTATGGTTACAATACTGATATGTTCGCGTCGTGGCGCGCAATGAACTGGAAGTTGATCTGTCAGCACTATCCTCATCTTCAGGGCAGATGTTTTTATTTTATTCAGCTTATAATTCCTTACTAAATGAAGTGTTTCATCTCAATGTACTCCATCTTTGATATGATTTAAATCAAATTCCTTGTCATTATAAATATCATGAATACACATCAAATAGTTTTCTGTTTGCAATTTTCTAATTTCGACTATGCGTAATGTATGCTTTATGCATGCACGCTTTGTAAGAAATTTTAATAAAGTAAGCAAATAAATATAAGCTTTTTTTGTTATTTTGATTACCCTTAGATCACAATGCTCTTTATTTAATAAATTACGATTTCATATTTTAATTGTATAA